ACTATCCCTCCACCAGCTCAGTTTTATACAAAGAACATTGTAACTTAGGAAGTTACCTGCTTAATATGTCTGAGACTGCTTCAGCATCATATTAGCTTCAGTTTAACTTCAGAATGCATTTCTGAACAGATTGAGGACTGTGGATTTCTTGGCTACAAAAAACTGTTTCAGTGTACATATGGGCATGTAAATGTTGTAATGAAATAGACTTGAAAGTCAGTTACTTAACTCCTGCTGTGCACCTGCAGTAAAAATGTGGTGTCTGTAGCCATATGCTGTATTAGCAAAACCTTGTCACACTCACATGATCAATACTCAGTCAATCACATGAGTGCTGATCGTTGCAAAGGCAAAATAAATTGTCTTATTGTACGGAAGTGGTGTCAGCTCTGGTTCTTCCGGTACCTGGGTTTCCTGCAGGTTCCTCCCACACTGCAAAGACAGAAATCAACATTTCATGCAAATGTGAAAACAAGTGTGAATGGTTGTCAAAAAAGCTCAACTGGTTTGGGGTATTAAGTAAGCTCATGACGCTCTTCTACAGCTCCATGGTAGTCAGTCATCCCTTTGTATTTTATTAGGTTACAACATACAGTCACAGTGTAAGATAATTTGTGTTAAACTGTTTGATCTCACGTTTTCCGTAAGAGAGTAATTTCAGATCTTATTTCAGTGTCCCATATATGTAACTGCTGGGGTGTATTTTCTTTAACCAATGAAGGTTGGATTGAATGAGAATGGGTAAACACACTTGGTTTTATGTTGCCATCTAATGTTTTCATGTAATTTATAATGTATTATGTACCTTAGTCTGTGAGTCAAGTCTGTGTGTTGTATGTTTTGCCCGGCTGCTAAAACTAATTTACTTTCAGAGATAAAGTTAAAGTGAAAATGTTAAAAAAAAAAATTTTTAAATGGTGCCTGGAAATACAAGAAAATAACCAACAATGGTCATCCAGATTACGATTAAAATATTGCTAAAGGGGGCTGCATGGTGGTGCAGTGGTGCAGTGGTTAGCACTGTCACCGCACAGCAAGAAGGTTGTGGGTTCAAACCCCTGTTGCCCCGGCCTTTCTGTGTGGAGTTTGCATGTTCTCCCCGTGTCATGGATAGAATAGATTCCATTATGACGAAGCATTGGAGTCTAAACATCTGATGGATTAGTTGTTCTGGGTTAAGGCCAGCTAAAGATGACCTTAAAGGGAAACCTACAGGCACAAGGGGAAAGACAGAAACATAAAAAGGATCAAAAGATGTCTTGCTTCAGATTTTGTGTTGGCATTTGACATGTTCACATGTTGGTGACTGTGTCTCCTCAGTCAGGCTCAATAAACCATGCTATGTTTAGTCTTCATCAGTCTCTAAAACTTCTTCCCACCTGAACCTACAATATTTTTTTAACAAGCTCCAGATAAAACCTCTTGAATGTCTGGATCTTTCTGGATCAGCTGAAGAGTCTTAACAGACTTTTTTCGAGCAGCCTGATAATAAGGAATTGCAGTAATCCAGCCTAGAAGTAACAAATGCATGGACTAGTTTTTCTGCATCATTTTTTCAGGATGTTCATGATTTTCGCAATATTACGTAGGTGAAAAAAGCCGGTCCTTGAAATTAGCTTAATGTGAGACTTAAACGACATGTCCTGATCAAAGATAACTCCAAGATTCCTCACAGTGGTGCTGGAGGCCAGGGCGATCCCATCAAGGGAAACTATATCTTTAGATAATGCATCATGGAGGTGCTTAGGCCCCAGAACAATAACTTCAGTTTTATCTGAGTTTAACATTAGAAAATTACAGGTCATCCAGGTTTTAACATCCTGAAGGCACATTTGAAGTTTAGCTAACTGATGAGTTTCATCTGGCTTGATCGATAGATATAACTGAGTATCATCTGCATAACAATGAAAGCTTATGGAATGTTTCCTGATAATATTGCCTAAAGGAAGCATATACAGTGGGTACGGAAAGTATTCAGACCCCTTTAAATTTTTCACTCTTTGTTTCATTGCAGCCATTTTCCAAAAATCAAAAAAGTTCATTTTATTTCTCAGTAATGTACACTCAGCACCCCATCTTGACAGAAAAAAACAGAAATGTAGAAATTTTTGCAAATTTATTAAAAAAGAAAAACTGAGATATCACATGGTCATAAGTATTCAGACCCTTTGCTCAGTATTTAGTAGAAGCACCCTTTTGATCTAATACAGCCATGAGTCGTTTTGGGAAAGATGCAACAAGTTTTTCACATCTGGATTTGGGTATCCTCTGCCATTCCTCCTTGCAGATCCTCTCCAGTTCTGTCAGGTTGGATGGTAAACGTTGGTGGACAGCCATTTTCAGGTCTCTCCAGAGATGCTCAATTGGGTTTAAGTCAGGGCTCTGGCTGGGCCATTCAAGAACAGCCACGGAGTTGTTGTGAAGCCACTCCTTCGTTATTTTAGCGGTGTGCTCTCATTGTCTTGTTGAAAGGTAAACCTTCGGCCCAGTCTGAGGTCCAGAGCACTCTGGAAAAGGTTTTCGTCCAGGATATCCCTGTACTTGGCCGCATTCATCTTTCCCTCGATTGCAACCAGTCGTCCTGTCCCTGCAGCTGAAAAACACCCCCACAGCATGATGCTGCCACCACCATGCTTCACTGTTGAGACTGTATTGGACAGGTGATGAGCAGTGCCTGGTTTTCTCCACACATACCGCTTAGAATTAAGGCCAAAAAGTTCTATCTTGGTCTCATCAGACCAGAGGATCTTATTTATCACCCTCTTGGAGTCCTTCAGGTGTTTTTTAGCAAACTCCATGCGGGCTTTCATGTGTCTTGCACTGAGGAGAGGCTTCCGTCGGGCCACTCTGCCATAAAGCCCCGACTGGTGGATTGCTGCAGTGATGGTTGACTTACTACAACTTTCTCCCATCTCCCGACTGCATCTCTGGAGCTTCTTCTTTACCTCTCTCACCAAGGCTCTTCTCCCCCGATAGCTCAGTTTGGCCGGACGGCCAGCTCTAGGAAGGGTTCTGGTCGTCCCAAACGTCTTCCATTTGAGGATTATGGAGGCCACTGTGCTCTTAGGAACCTTAAGTGCAGCAGAAATTTTTTTGTAACCTTGGCCAGATCTGTGCCTTGCCACAATTCTGTCTCTGAGCTCTTCAGGCAGTTCCTTTGACCTCATGATTCTCATTTGCTCTGACATGCACTGTGAGCTGTAAGGTCTTATATAGACAGGTGTGTGGCTTTCCTAATCAAGTCCAATCAGTATAATCAAACACAGCTGGACTCAAATGAAGGTGTAGAACCATCTCAAGGATGATCAGAAGAAATAGACAGCACCTGAGTTAAATATGTGTCACGGCAAAGGGTCTGAATACTTGACCATGACCATGTGATATTTCAGTTTTTCTTTTTTAATAAATTTGCAAAAATTTCTACATTTCTGTTTTTTTATGTCAAGATGAGGTGCTGAGTGTACATTACTGAGAAATAAAATGAACTTTTTTGATTTTTGGAAAATGGCTGCAATGAAACAAAGAGTGAAAAATTTAAAGGGGTCTGAATACTTTCCGTACCCACTGTATAAAGTGAAGAGGATTGGTCCGAGGGCAGATCCTTGAGGAACTCCATGACTAACTTTGGCATGCATGGAGGACTCATCGTTAACATGTACAAACTGAAATCGATTTGATAAATAGGACTTAAACCAGCTTAGAGCGGTTCCTTTAATGCCAATGAAATGGTCCAGTCTCTGCAATAGGATCTGATGGTCAATGGTATCAAATGCAGCACTAAGATCTAATAAAACCAGTACAGAGACAAGTATTTGTCTGATGCAATAAGGAGGTCGTCAGTAATTTTCACCAGTGCTGTCTCTGTGCTATGATGAGCTCTAAATCCTGACTGAAAATCCTCAAATAAACTATTGCTCTGTAGAAAGTCACACAGCTGTTTAGCAACTGCTTTCTCCAGAACCTTAGAGAGAAATGGAAGGTTAGATATAGGTCTATAGTTGGCTAAAACATCCGGATCAAGTTTGGGCTTTTTCAGAAGAGGTTTAATTACAGCTACTTTAAAGTACTGTGGTACATAGCCTGTTGATAAAGATAGATTGATGATATCTAGTATAGAGGTGCTGACTAGGGGTAAAACATCTTTAAGCAACCTAGTCAGGATGGGGTCTAAGAGGCAGGTTGATGGTTTAGATGAAGAAATTATTGAAGTTAGTTGGTAAAGATTGAGGGAAGCAAAACAGTCTAAACATATATCTGGTTCTACAGCTGTTTCTAAGGTTCCTGAGTTAAGAGATAAGTTGGTGCCAGTTGAGGGCAGGTCTTGGTGAATTTTGTCTCTAATAACTAGAATTTTATCATTAAAGAAGCTCATGAAGTCGTAACTACTGAGAGCTATGGGAATACTTGGCTCAATAGAGCTGTGACTCTCTGTCAGCCTGGCTACAGTGCTGAAAGGAAACCTGGGGTTGTTCCTATTCCTATTTTATGGTATCATTGTTAACATAATAGCAGTTCATTGTAACACAACGTATCCTGTCACTTGAGATATGTTGTGTTGCAATACAAATGTGCACAACAGGAGTACTTTGTTTACATTGGCCTTCCAGACAAAAGAGTGAAATAAGGTTACATGAAGTCTTTTTCTACATGTTAAAACATATAAAGGCCTCTGCAATATTTATGAACATGTATGTTTTTTTATTTATAAAGGGTGTTAGTTATGGTGGTTTAAAGAAGCCACACGCAGATGAATTATTTCTTCAAGACAAACTCTTTAGCAGCCTATCTGGTTTTAACTGCAAAGTTCAGATGGTTACAAACGGACTACAGCTGTTATTACACATAAAGTAAATATAGTGAAGGATCTAAAAACCTACATTTTATGTGATAGGCAGGCTTTTTGCCTAGTAAGGCCATGGGCGGCTATAGCCTCTCAGTGAAGCTCCACCCCCCTGTCTCTAGAAGCAGGCACACACCTGTGCCGCTTTGGGAGTTGATTTATCGAGCGCACCCAGGATCTCTCTGTAGGCATTGTGTCCCAGTGTGGCTAGAGAGCAGGTATGTTTTGTAGGAGTTATGAGTCAAGGCTGACAATGTTTTTAACTTGTGAACATGTTTTAATTTGTTTTAATCACAGGTATTTTAAGTCACCTGTTGTCCAGACCTCATCAGCTGAATAGCCTGTTGTGCTAAAGGTTCACCACAGAGAAGGAAGTGGTTAACGCTGAGGTAAAAAGATTTTGTCTAATAGTTATGCAAGTTTACTAGTTAAGCGAGGTGGAGTCAGAGCTGGGTTGACTACTTACTGCATTGTGTGAGGTAAATATTGTCAGGTATTTAGCAAGTATGTTTTGGCAGTATGTGTTAAGACAACGGAACTAATTAAATTCTTGTAATTTTAGGGTTGTATAGCCATTGCTGTTTTGCCTGCCTGATCAACTGCTGCTATTTGTGTTTGAATTGTTATGTCTATTTTATGAGAATTGTTACAGGATGGGCCCCTGTGAATGTGATTGCCAACTGCCGGGGTCTGCTAGGGGTGTGGCGGTTGTCCCTGTTTTTGGCTGTACGATTTTCCTCAGCTTCTAAGCCATTCCCCCCACCCCCCACCCCCTTTTTAGTGTTCTGCCAGACAGACAGGGTGGTGGATTGTGGGAACCCCTTTCCCCTTCAATGCATGTGGTGGTGGGTATGACAGCTGAGTGTGCATGCTTTACTTAGTTTTATTGTGACATTTGTGTGTGTCTTGCTGTGTCTAGGTGGCTGCGTGCCGGTGTGAGTGGTGTCAAAGCACCTGGGTGGCCCACAGGTAACCCCGCACCGGCAGGTCTGGTCCCTGTAGATGCTGAGGCGTTTTTAACAATGTGCTTTTATCCCTTAGCATCTCTGGCAGTATTGGCATCCACATCTTATTTGTTTTTATTGTTGTGCTTGTGCAGCGAATAAAATTGCCCAAAGCCTGATCTTTTTAATTGTTTAAATAAATCTTCCTTCTGGTCGAAACTCACGTCTTTGAACTTTATTAATTGTGGGAAACCCATGGCAATTGGGGAGTGACTATTTGGGGATTTGAACCCCTCACTATTTGACTTGGTTACTTATAACTTAAATTAATGTATCTTTCAAAGGAGATGGCCAATCTGTTAGCACTCAGCTATAGAGTATACAGTCAGATGCACAAAAATAGCTAGACACACATGATGGACTTGAATACTGATAGGTCTGACATCAGACGATCAACATGTATCTGATTTATAAAAAAAAAAAACTTAAATGTGACATTTGTCACATTTAACAAAAATAACAGGAGCACATTCACTGAAAATCACTTAAAATTCAGTTAATCCATTTATGTGGCTTCTTTATTACAAAAACACTTACAAGCATTCTTAACACCTTTTATAAAAAATAGGCAAATAGTTGCCTACAGTATTTAGACATCCAGCAGACCATTTGAGTTGTGTTTCCATCCACCTGATGAATGTGTCCAACATCCACTCTTTTAGCTGTTTGCTATCCACCAACTCTTGAGAAAAATATCTTGCTCTTTAGCTGATAAATGTGTTCTGTCTTTCTGCTGTTTGGTGCTAAACTGTTAGCTAAATCAGACTAAACAGAGCTGTATAAATGCAAAGCATGTGATATCACATTTTTACAATACAAGTAGTCATTTGTTCCTTTTATTAATCTAAAAACACTGACATTGTGAATGTTTTCTCACCTTAAGCTACAGAACATCTGCTTGTTGGTGGCATGAAAACAGATCGACAGAAATTCTTTACATTTAAAGAGTAAAAAGAACAAGCAAAGTATCTTAAACATAAAACAATTTTAACTCAAAGCTTCGATCACTCAGGAAAAATGATATTTGACTTTGTGGTGAGTTTAAGTTGGTGTGGAAGTTGTCGATCACTGCAGTCTAGTAGCAGCAGAATGTGCATTCACATTTTCATACTGGACTTCTGCATCATTATTTACCTGTGAAATAAAGCACAACAAACATATTCTGAAAAAAAAAAAAAACTGTTTCAAGAGAACAAACTGTTGATGTTTCTACCAGAGAGTAAAAAGTGAGTTAATTTTTCATAATAGTTATTTTTAAACTCACATTGTTCTCATTTTCCAGTGGATTTGTTTTCCCTGGGGGAAAAAATGAAAAATACCATTATACAAAATACCATTACAATTCTAAGGTTCCTGATAAATTATTTACATTAACCAGTTCTACTAAACAATGGTCTGAATTTCCTCACCTCTGTCTCTGATGACTTGAACTGTGATTACAATCATCAGGATCAGTCCTGCAATTCTCAGAGTCAACAAGACGTAGCTCAGAGGAGACCAATCTGTGGAATCTGTTGAACCTGGTTTACAAAAAAAGTCACTTAATAAATAAGAACAATGTTTAAAGCTGGGACAGGCATTATTTGTTATATTTGTTGAAATTATCTTTAAATATCATCAATAAATCAAATGCTATAAATGAAAAAATCGGGTATCTGTGGCTGTGACAGGACTGTAATAAGCATGGGCAATCATTTAATTTTGGTACCTGCTCATTGCTCATGAACGTGTGTTTTAGATTGTTTTCAATTAAATACTTCCAAAAATCTAGCGGTCTTACCTGAATTTGAAATTCCTGGCTGATTGCCTGTGAAGAAAGGTGTGTAGTCAGCCTCTATCTCTACATTGTTCTCCTTATGAACATACTGGCAGGTGTATGTCCTGTTATGGCCACTCTGACGTTTCACAGTCAGAACAGAAACACAGTTCTTCTGTCCGAGGAGCTTGTATGCGACATCTTCACCAAGCATCACAGTTCCTGTCTCGTTCACCCAGCGGATGCTGTTCTGTTGACATGGAGGGAGGTCGCTGTATCTCAACAGAGAGCACTCTAATGTGATGTTACCGTCACTCATTGGATCAGCGTCTGGAGGAGATGGAGAGACTGAGGAAAAATAATTGATAGCTGTTAAGTCAGCATCAAAAATATTTAGCATCTGCAGGAAAGTCAGTGACTTTACTACAAAACTAAATTTTTCTAATCTTTGGTGATCATTGTTCTGCTGAGTGAAAATATTGAGGAGAACTGAACCAGATTGAATCAAGACCTTTCAGTTTGGTTCTCTACAAGCCAAATGAGTGAATAAAATGAAAAAAGAAATCCTGTGAAGAATATTTATCAGCAAACGGTAATGTTAGTCGCTGCATACTGGGGGAGGGTTTCAGGAATGAAGGAGCGCTGCATCAACAATGACCAAACAGATTGGCTCCTCTCTCTTTCCCTGAGCCCCGTCCACTCTACCTACGCTCATTCACTGAGAGGGTCTCTCATGTTAAGGGCCATCCCAAACCAGTGAGGCATTCAGATCCATGTGAAATGTGTGCTCATGGACATCTTCCCTTGAATGGAAGGGTTGTCCCCATAAAGCCTGGATGAATGATGGCTTTTGTTTCCTCCTTAATGTGGAGTGTCTTTTACAGGAAAAGACAACAGTGTTAATTACGCTCCTCTAATAATAGGGAGAATTTAAACAAGTAATCTCTGCCTACCATAATCACCAAACATATAACAGCAAGTAGATAGCAGACAGGAAAAAGGGGGTAGCCTACAGCTGGAATGAGGCTGAGCTTAACACGGTGCAACATTTTTGTGCCAAAAGCAGAATTCCCACTTGATAGTCTCTTTCATGGAAATGAGACTCACTTGTCAGAACCTTGAGATGTGTTGCTAGATCCTTATCAAAGTCCATCCCCTGCCGGCAGGTGTAGAGACCAGCATCTTCAGCAGTGATGTTTTTAATGTCAAGAGAGCACTTACTGTCCACACTCAGCCTGGCAGCTCGGGCTGAGGTCTGCCAAACACTTCCATTTACAACATCATAGAAAGTCAGAGATGGTCCTCTGTTGTAAAACCATGAAACACTGGAGCATGTTGTGTTAGAGGATGATACACTGGAACAGGGCAGAATAGCATCATCTCCAGGTCTTTTGTAGAAATTGTGTTTTTCAAGGTTGCCTGCTGGAAAGAAAAGAATACATGTTCTGTTAGAAAGAAAACACAACATTTAAAATCATTATTATCTCTAAAAAGAAACAAAAGAGTTTTTTTTTTTTTTACATTTGCAACCACAGGGAGCTCAGGGGTGTGGTGGCATACATTATGGTGGAGATGTATTTATTTATGTAAAGGAAAGCCAAATGGATGGAGCGAGACAGTCCCAAACGTTTTGGTTTATGTCATTCTCTTGCTAATTTGCAGCTGACTGTTAAACATTTGTTTGCCAATCTCTCTCTCTCTCTCTCTCTCTCTCTTTCTCTCCCCCTTAACTTCCCCATCATGTCCCTTCTGTCTATGGATAACTGCTACAATGGGTGGAAATGGAATTAGCGCCAACAGTTATGTTTACAACCTCGAAAATCAAGCAAGCTAAGACACTAAACCAAGTGACGTGATTTATTGATCTCCTCTGATCCATTTCAGTACTGTGGACAGCGCCTAAATACACATAAGCCCAGCTGTGCTGCTTAGGGGAATTACACACCAAAAGCATTAAACTACTTCCCTTGTGCCACTCTAAATGCAGGCATGCTGAGTAGGGGTCAGTTGTCCTGTTTCTCCAATCAGGAACAAGTTACAAATCACCTGATCCACTCTGCACATGCTCAGTTAGTTCGACTTCCACATGTGAAGAAGTAGCACTATGTGGCAGGGACAGCCATTTTATTTTTGTTACAGGATTGCCAGCTTTTTAGTTAAACTGATCAAACTTCATTCAAGTTTATTGTGTGTCTATGTTGATGTCTTTTGTGCAAGTTGTTAGTGCTAATGTTTCAGCTGTAAGCTGTAAGGTAAGCTAGTTCATGGTTACTAGAGTCTGGGTTGGTTGTAACAAGATTCTGGGTTGGTTCTGACAACAAAGAAAATGTTTAGCTGTATTTATGTGTTTTCTTTGAATTTCAGTATGTGTCGACACACACAGTGATGTTTAATTGTTTCATTATTAGGTTCAAATGTTAGTAAAAGACTATAAAGACTATAGACTGGGTCCTGGCCTGCACTCCAGGAGTGCATGTGTGAAGCAAACCTATAATGTTATGAAAAATAACATTCGGAAATACTGTTTCATAAGCACTTGTGCTGGGGCACCACACGAGGCCTTCGGGACGCCTTAGGTATGGTTTTAATAATTACAATTATTTACTAGTGATCAGTTAATTGATAATTATTTTGAATCAGTTTAATCAATCAGTCAATCAGTCTCATTTCAAAGTTGTGAATCATCCTGGATTTAAAGAGTACACACACAGTTCCTGTGATTAAGGTGAAATTATTAATTAATTTATTAAACTGAATACAAAGTGAGGTTAAATATATCAACATAAAAACAATGATGATTAAACAACCAGGATGTAATCAATGAGAATAATGGAGTTCAATGAGAATTTAGTTTAGTCTATTGTGGGAAAGAATCTGATTCTAAGGGAGCAAGATAACTAATGAACTAAATTTGGCTAGGAGTTTTAGGCTAAAAGAACTAAGGATTAAAGGCTAAAGGATTAAAAATAAAGAACATCACCTTGACCACAGAATGTAGTTTGTTTGTCTTACTGCTTGTTGGTTTCTCAGCCGGTTGATGTTCGGACGGCCCCACGACTAGTTAGCGCTTAGGTCCTTGGCGTCCACAGTTTCAGCAGCTTAGCACGACAGGACCAGCTTTTTACTAGCAGGCTTGTCCTGGGGGTCCGTCCTAGCCGGCTTGTTGTTGAAGAAAACTTGCAGTGATAGGCTGTTACAGCTAGTGTAAGTAGCCCACGTGGCTGGGTCCGAACTTTGGTGGGAGTGGCGAAAGTTAATTCGACTGAAATAAAGCTTAAAAGGGAATGGTCTGATAACTCTTAACAAACAAAACAAGACAAAGTAAATTCAACAAAGGTTCGCGGGAATATGGCTAAGTAAGTTCCTGGAAGACAAAGAAAATTTCACGGACAATACAACTACTATACTAACTATACTAAGTAACTTCAAGATTATTTAATTCAAACAAGGTAATAAGGCAAGTTTATAAGGAGACAATTTGTTCACACAAAGGTATTTGAGGCTGTGCCTTCCCTGGTGTCTGGCTTTCCTCACCGGTTTCACAACTGGGTGTGAAAAGTGATAGGGTCTTTGATGTTTTGAAGTAACTGAAAGGAGAACATTGTTACCATGGTTACCCTGCCCTTTTGGTCTTGGGGAGTGTCTGTGTGTGGGGGGGTCAGTTTAGAGTCCTGATAGCCTAGTTCAGGATGAGGTTAGTCTCTGGTCAAGGTTAATATCGTCATTTTAACAGTCATGCATAGAGTCTGTTATCTCAACTTCACCGGACGTGGTAGGTTTTATGGTCGAAACTTCCCAAACAGCACTTGGGAGTGGATCAAACCTTTCACCCCCTCCTTTGGGGTACTTCAGCTGTCTGTTGAGGGTTGATATCTCAACCCCCCCTCTTTCTCTCAGGGTGAGAGAAAGAGAGACTCTGGATTCTTCCTTTTTGGTATAAAATAGTGCTTGACAACGATTAGAATTTTTAATCGCGATTAATTGCATGTTTTTCTTGCGATTATTAATTTAATAATGAATTCTAAAGTAGTGCAATTTTAATTTAAATGTACTGCTATATACACAAAACTGTAATAACATGTGGTTTGCAAACACTTTAAACAAATAAGGTGCTTTTTACCAGCAGTATTCCCTTTACACAGTAGCAATAAAATATTTCTTGTAAATCCCAATTTAAATATTTATATAATCAAATCAAATATTAAACCAAAGCTATTTGCCACTGCCAGGGCTTTACCTTTTATCTAGCTTGTTAAAACAAGTTACCATCAGAATCCAGTTTTCTTGTTGTTTTTTTCTGAACAGGTGTCAGCATCAGGTATCTTTTATCAGGGAGCAGCAGAAACAGTCTGTTCAGTAGGGTTTTGACGATGTCTACAAAACTACATTGAAACATCGGGATGGACGATGGCAAGGGGCATTAACAAGCAAGCGGCTCACCTGCTGCCGTGATAACGGATCGCAGAATATGGAACATATGGTAAAAAGATGACAGCGTAGTCTGCTGAAGCCTCCCTCCACTGCTTGTTTGGGTGGCTGATTTGCAGGCTGATCAACATCCCGCCCCTCCTGTGACCCATGGTTTGACTGTATGTGTATTCAGAGCCAGTGAGCGAGGGACTTTCAAGCTAACAATAATAAAATAAAAACTGCGTTAAGGGCACCTTAACACCAGCCCCAGTATAAAATAATTGAACCAACACTGGTTGGTTTATCACCGCGGTGATGGTGCAAGACAAACAAGCACAAACACACACACTAATATTCTGCTGGTGCACATTTTGATAGTATTACGTATGTCACTACTATGACTGACATTAACTAAGATACTTGGAACCCCCCGACACACACACGTCAATTATGTAAAAAATAAATTAAGTATTATTATAAAAATCTTTCAATATCATGTTGTTCTCATCCTTCTTATCACAAGTTTAAGCTTAAGTTTAAGAAAGCTGAATTCCCATGCAAAGTTCTCGTCAGCTTTTACAGAGGAACAACATCCTGAGCATCAGTGATATCGGTGAGGTGAGGTGTCCACGCAGAGCCCAAAGGATACTAAAGGACAGTACTGGCCCAGCCACAGCCTGTTCACTCCGCTGCCTTCTGAGAAGAGAGATAAAGTTTCTGATGATGCACCACCAGACTGCAGAGCAGCTTTTCCCCGAGGCCGTGAGACTTTTAAACTCACATTCATCCTCAGCGCTGCTCCATTAAATATAGTTTATTTCGGTTTACCTTTTTATGTATGATTGCTTTTGTATTACTGTAAATTGTCTGTTACGTAGCAGAAATTAGTCACATGCTTAATTTTATTTTACAACCTGTTATAATGTGACAAGTAAACTTACCTTCTACCTTCTTCGGTATGTTACGATTAACCAGGGGCGCCGCACAAAAATCTGGACCCTGTACATGAGCATTCTCTATGGGCCCCTCCCACATCCACGGCTTCTAACAGTGCAAATTTCACATTTCTGTAAAATTATGATTAACATCTACATAAGAAACCAGAGTGTTACCTTCAAACTCAAACTGAAGGACAAAAATAAGGATTAATTCCAGTAGAGACATTTTGCGTCCATTCCCTGTTGAACTCCGCAGATGGATGGACGTGAGGCTTCTCTGCCGCAGGTCTGTAAGTGATGGTACTTCCTCTTTGTGGTTAACCTTTTAGTGAAAATACCTTGAGAAAGACCAACACCAACCACCCAGTTCCAGAGAGTTACAGTTACATCACTCTTATGCCCCCTCTAAACCAACTGCACACAGCAAGAAGAGTAAACTTCTGTTTCACAAACTGCTCTGCACTTTAATTTTTTTTTTTTTTAGCAGGGATCTCTGTAGCAACAGAGAAACAAAAATGTTGTAATTTCCACTATATTTTTGGTAAGAAACCAAATACATAACAACAAGACTAAGGTTAGCTATGCTAGCAGCTCTGGGAGAGATTAATGCTAAAATATCTCAGTCTAGCATGTTAGCATGCTATAATTTACTCATTACACAAACTGCAGTTTGATGATGACACTAGATGAAAGTTAAGGTATCGCTAAAGTTATGAAAAAAATATCCCAAGAGAATAATCCATTCAGTAGGCGTCACCCAAAGCAGCCTCATGGTGACACTTTAGGAAAAGTGAGGGGATCAAAGTCACAGGTTCATCCTCTGGCCACCATAAGTATCTGTACTTATCTCATGTCATGATAATCTGTCCAGTGTGGTGTTGACATTTCAGTCAAGACCAAAACTGTGGCCTGACTGACAGACAGACAGACAGAGCCATCCTTAGAGCGATGCAGCTATCATGGCTAGAAACAATATCATCATGTCAGCTAGTTCGTGTTTCCTGACAAAACATGATCTAAATGTATTAGCGTTAGATTTAGGTATGTATTTTCCCTTGACTAAAGATGTAATTTAAAACATCAAATATGCATTAATATTACTTGGGATGTGATGTCATATGATTTATTTATCTATCTTGTATTAATTTATGTCTTTTAATAGTTTTGAAATTTAACCAAATTGGAGGTTTGCAGAGCTCTCACATTTAAAAAGATTACATCCTGAAGTACAGTATGTTTCATCTTTTTTTTGAGTAAGCTGGTGAGAGACAGGTACAATGCAACACACAATATAAATGGACCAACAGGTCATAGCTGGATGTACATCTCTTTCTGACATTTTGGAAGGTTTTCATTTCATTATTAGTATTATGTTTAAAGTAAGACTTAAGACTAAGTGTTAAAGCATGTCTGTCTGTCTTAAAACAATGCTCACTTGCACAAATGTGCACTAAAACAGTTTTAGGTTGCCGATGTAGGATTTTTGAGGCCGATACTCATACCGATACAGACTTTTGAGGGGGAAAATTCACAGATGCTCATAATGTGGCCTCTATAATGAATTTTTGATCTTGAATTAAAATACACTTTTCGACTTGTACATTATGGAGATTGTGCTCCAATTCTATGACAATGCAAAGGTACTCAGAAGGTTGCTTTCTTAAACTAATAACACACAACTAATGCACAACTTAAGAAAACATCTAAAACATCTTTAAAAACATTTTGGATGGTAATTAACATGATCAATTTACAGTAGCTGACAAACATCACATTAGCCTGGATTAGTTAAAACACATTTTAATATCACAATACATATTTATGACTAAATAAGAAACAATGAAAGGTAGATTTGGAAAAATCAATCATTAGGTATTATTCATAAAGAGAACAGACTTAAAATCAGACTTAGAATCAGACTTAAGACACAACACTGTCGATTCAGATGTTACAATACTGCCGTTTTTGGACAGAAGGGAACGATCTGGAATACCTGGAGGTCATTGCTGACTTCATGGTGTGAGCGTAACCAACTTCACAGTAATGCCAGCAAGACAAAGTAGATTGTGGTAGACTTACTTCAATGGTGAACATCCAGGGTTTGGATATTGATATGGTGGGAACATAATAGTACCTGGGTGTTCAACAATAAACGGGACTGGTCCAACAACATGTCCTGTACAAGAAGGGCCAAAGTCGTCTTCATCTGTTGAGGAGACTGAGGTCCTTTGGTGTGTTCAGGACACTGTTAAAATCTTTCTATGACACTGTGGTGTCATCTGCAGTCTTCCGTGCAGTAGTCTGTTGGGGAGCAGGAAGCACAGGGATCTAAAAAGACTCAATAAACTGGTTAAGAGGGCTGGTTATGTCCTGGACTGCCCTTAGCGGAGGTGGGTGAGAGGAGGATGTTAGCCATGCTGATGTCAATCATGGACACTTCTCACCCCCTGCATGAGACTGTAAGGACCCTGAGCTGCTGCTTCAGCAATAGACTGCTGCACCCACAGTGCAAGAAGTAGGGCCGGTATTTCATTCCAGCTGCTGTCAGACTCTTTCAAAAGCAAAGACATAATGCTGTAACTTTTTTGCATTATTTTATTCCTGCACTGTGCAATTGCACATTCAAATATTTTACCTGTACTGTATATCCACACCCCCATATTTTATGCCAGTATTATACTGCTGTATATATTCTGCCCTGTGCAATTAAATGTATTTCTACTCAGTGCAACTACTTCCTGCTGCAACCTCTGCAATATTTCAGATCAATCACATGCCTTAAATATTTCACTTCATGTATAATGAGACTAAGATTTGTGAAAGTTTCACTTTCTGAAATATTATTACTGAAAAAATTTACTTTTTCACACTATTCAAATTTTCTGAGATGCATCTGTAGTTGATATGATTATTGTTTTGATTATTATTAAGACTAAGGCTCAGTCACACCATTAACAACAGCTAAGGTTTTTGCTGAATAGACGTAATGTCAGTGAGTTACATCATTAAATCACATCTGTTGATGGTGTGGTTTTTGCTAGTGAACGAATACTGACATCAGACTATCAACAAATGTAGCTGAGAAAATAAATAGTATAAAACAGTTTAGTTTCACAAAAATCAAATGGAGAACCGGAGCACAATCACTGAAAATCATTTGAATTTCAGTTAATCCATTAATGTGGCAGAAAAAGATGAAAGACACCTCTGACACCTTATAGAGCAGAGAAAATACAATGCCTACAGTATTTACACATCCAGTAGGTCAGCATCATATTTGAGTTGTGTTTCCAGGTTCTTTTTGCTGTTTTGGTCTCCACTAATGCTTGAAAAAAATATCTTGCTGCTAAATGTTTTGTCTGTCTGCTGTTAGGTGCTGAGTAGTTTACAGTTGAGCTGCCAGCTACTGCTGGAATCAGGGTGGATGAGAGCAGAAAAATGCCATAAAACCTAAACTATTAGCTAAATCAGGATGAAAAGAGCTGCATGCAAAGTTTGTGATATTTCTCAGTCTCTGCTTGTAGTTGGCATGAAAACAGTTGGACAGAAATTCTGTACATTTAAGTCGTAAAAACAACAAGCAATGTATCCTAAACATAAAACAATCATATTAACTCAAAGCTTCGATCACTCAGGAAAAATTACTGTGATGATATCTGACTTTGTGGTGAGCTGAAGTTGGTGTGGAATCTGTCAATCACCGCAGTCTAGTAGCAGCAGGATGTGCTTTTACGTTTTCATACTGGACTTTGTCTGCATCATTATTCACCTGTTGATGTTTCTACCAGAGAGTAAAAAGTTTCATCTTTCATTTTTCAAATCATAATAGTTATTTTTAAACTCACATTGTTCTCATTATCAAGTGCTTTTGTGTTCCCTGGAAAACCTCATTACAATACTAAAGGTATGATTTACATTAACCAGTTCTACCAAAGGATGGTCTGAATTTCCTCACCTCTGGATCTGATGACAAGAACTGTGAATACAATCATTACGATCAGTCCCGCTATTTGCTGAGTCCACATGACGTAGCTCAGAGGATGCCAACCTGTGGAATCTGTTGAACATGGTTTAGAAATAAACATTGTTACGACCCCTCCCCCTTCCTGCTTCCTTTTCCTGCAGGAGGCTGCAGGCAGGGAGGCTGATTGGGCTGGGCAATCACCTGTGAAGCTCTACCTTCAGAGCTTATTTAGCCAGGACTGATCAGTCTTTTGTCTCTCTCCTCTTAGGCTGACGTCCTACCGGGTTTGTCTTGTGTTTCTTCTTTGGTTAATCCTGACAACACACACATACAACTGATAGTCATACTTTGCCACACCACATATTATTGGTGATCATTTGATTCTTCTTTTACTTTTATAATAAATCATACCATTGGCTTTCAAACCTATTGTGTCTCACCTCCTTTTTGTCACGGGCTAAGAGTTGGCTTGTGGCAACATGTAAATCATGTAAATAAGTACAATGTTTAAAACTGTTTTGTTTAATTTGTTGAAATTATCTACATCATCACTTAATCAAATGCTCTGACACAAAAATTAAAAAAAGAATTGCATAAAAATGTGTAGTGACTTTATAGAGAAGCCTGAAAGGAGCGGGTTGGATGTTTTTTTCAGTTGGTTACTTTCATTTACATTTACTCATTTGGCAGCCGCTTTTATCCAAAGTGACTTACATTTGAGGAACAACATACAAACATCAATAGAGCATCAAATACAGCTGACAATACATACTAGTAAGAGCAGCATTAAGTACTAGTAAGAGCTCATAGTACATATCACATCAATGGGGTAAATACCTAGGGAAGGAAGTAAGAGTTGTTGGAGCAGTTTCTGTCTCATCCTCATCTCAACAGAGAGCACTTTAATGTGACTTTTCTGTGTTTCTTTAGACCAGCGTCTGGCGGAGATAGAGAGACTGAGCCAACCGTTGTCTTTGAAAAATTTATTTAACAAAAGAGAATAAACAGATAAGTACTAAAACACATAAACAGCTGTCCACAGACCTCGTAAAAGTAATGATAATAATAGAACATACATAAAAAATTAAATGTAAGAGGACACAGTTTTCTGCCATAACAAAAATAATACTTGTTCTGTTAGAAATAACACAATACATGTATAACCATCTGCATGTAGAGTGAACACTTATCATGAGGATTGTATGTTATTTTATTCTTACTTTTACAACTACATGGAGGTAACATGCCCCCCTCCGCCATCAAGTGGTTGTGTTTATAAGAGAGATCCATTTTTATTTCTGTCTCAGTTACTTAGTTACTTAGTTAGTGATAACACTAACTTCTACTATTGAAACAGCAAAAAAACAAAAAAAACACCACACAGTTGATCAGAGTAAACAAAACTTGATTTTGATCAAATAAAAATCTGCAGATCTGTCATTGCCTTTGTTTTGTGTGCATTTGTATTATTTATCTTCGCTGTATGTACTAACTGCATCAAGTTATAATGTAAATACTTACATATTCTGTTACACAGGTGGAGTTTAAAGAAACCACACAGAGAACAGAGAGAGACACAGACCATTTGATCATTACCTTGTACATGTTGTTTTGCACATGTGTCTGTATGCACTGAAAAAAATACTTAAAAATAATTGATTCATAATTGCAATCCTGTTCTTGTCTCACACGTTTACTAGAGGCTAGAAAGGTTATCAAAGTTTATCTAAGTGGTTTATAAAGCAGATAATTTGTGGCTTGTTCCTCTATGTGGTTGACCTATAGTTAAAATCTTTTTAAAAAGTCAGAAAATAACTTGAGAAACAACACCAACCACCCAGCCTGTCATCAGTTCCAGAGAGTTAGAGTTGCATCACTTCTATGCACCCTCTAAAATGCACACAACAACAAGAAACTTGTTTCACAAACTGCACTTGTCAATTACACACAGATTCCATTTTAATCATTTTTTTAGCTGGATGGTGGTGCGTTTTGGTATCATCCAAAAGAGTTTTTTTAACTTATGATGTTAAAATATTAAATTTTTTATAATTTAATTAATTCACCCCAGTTAATTCTGGGATCTATGTCGCTCACAGGACAAAGTAGGCTAATGGAAACTCACTTCCACTCATTTGTCATTTTGGTGGTGTAACCAAAAGAAGAAGTGGCATTTTTGTTAAGAAACCAAAAACAGAATAACAAGTCTAAGACTTCTACAGCCATGCTAGCAGCTCTGTTACACTGTACTTCGGCAAAGTGGTGCTTTAGATCCGATTGTTTTGATTGACAGTTCACATTATTGTTCAAACGTGGCCCATATCTGACTGAAGTGTGAGCTGTCCACAGCCTGCAAGTGACCCTCCAAAAGCTTGCTTACAGTTGCTTGATGATCAGCATGTTTTTGTCTGATGGATAATCCATTAAAAGGGTGTCCTCGTGCAACTAGCCTACTTGAGTATATGGATAGACGACAAATTTTTATTCACTGGACATATTGATAATCTAGTTAGGATGTTCGAAGTGATGACTGACTTTATTTTAGAAAAAAGTCTAACCGCCACTAAAAGCAAAAATAGAAGAAGGTCAGCAGCAGACTGAAAAAAGGAGATTTATGCCGGGATGTTTACAATAAAACTCCTGGAGCTAGTCCACAAGTACTGAGATTGTTATGATGTCTCATTAAAATCATAACCTCCTCGCATGTTGCTATGTTTACGATGTTCAAATTCGAAGGTTGTCAAGGATGATGATCCGGTGTCAGAGAGGGATGATCTGGCCCCTAGTGGATTCACGTTTAATCCTCCAGGTACATGTAAAGTACGCAGGCAAGTATGTGAACAATGCCGTTTGTGTCGCCTATGCCTGTCTACACCTACGCATTGTTAAAAAGCAAGTATGTCGGGGGCTTTATTGTGTCACAGTCTAAGCAAACAACATTGTCATAAATGGCTGCGTAGGACCCAAAACGTCAGGGGGCGCCGCAACAGAAAGTTTTCGACTCAGAGCGAATCAACTCCACCCAGCTGAAGCGACACAGGTGATAGTAATCATGTGCACCTCGTCACAGTTTGTGACGGGTGGTAACAAACAGTAATTTGTTCCTTTATTAATCTAAAAACAATGATGAAATTATGAATCTTTTACCATCTGAAGCTACAGAACATCTGCTTGTTGTTAGTATGAAAACAGTTTGAAAGAAATTCCTCACATTTAAAGAGTAAAAAAAACAAGTAATGAAGCCTAAACATAAAACAATCCTTTTAACTCAAAGCTTCAATCATTAATGTAAAATGAAATGATATTTGACTCTGTGGTGAGTTTAAGTTGGTGTGGAAGTTGTCGATCACTGCAGTCTAGTAGCAGCAGGATGTGCTTTTACATTTTCATACTGGACTTTCTCTGAATCATAATCTACCTGTGAAATAAAACACAACAAATGAGATTCGGAAAAAACTATTTAAAGGGAACAAACTGTTGATGTTTCTACCAGAGAGTAAAAAATTTCATCTTTAATTTTTGAAATCATAATAAAAATTTTTTAACTCACACTGTTGTCATTATCAAGTGGTTTTGTGTTCCCTGGAAAAGAAATAATGACAAAGTAGCATTATAATACTAATGGTATGATTTACGTTAACCACTTCCACCAAAGGATGGTCTGAATTTCCTCACCTCTGTATCTAATGACAAGAACTGTGATTACAATCATTACGATCAGTCCCGCAATTTGCAGAGTCAACATGACGTAGCTCAGAGGAGACCAACCTGTGGAAACTGTTGAGAAATCTGTTCAGAAATAAACATGTCAGTTAATAAATAAGTACAATATTTAAAGCTGTGGTAGGCAATTTACATTTATGTTATACTGTGTTGAAATTATCTTTACATCGTCAATAAATCAAATGCTCTGACAAAAAATGAAAAAACATCCAGTATCTGTGGCTGTCGTGGGACTATAATAAGCATGACTGACTCCCTGCCCTTGCAGGACTAAATAACAATAGTGTTAAAAAGTTTCCTTTTCTGAAAATATTCGATCTTGAAACCAAGAGGCTTTGTATCTGGTGGGCTGCATATTATCTTACCTGAATCTGACTTTTCTGTCTGATTGTCTCTTATCCTACGCGTGAAGACAGGTGTGTAGTCAGCCTCTATCTCTACATTGTTCTCCTTAACAAACTGGCAGGTGTATCTCCTGTTGTGGCCACTCTGATGTTTCACAGACAGAAAGGAAACACAGTTCTTCTGTCCGAGGAGCTTGTATCCGACACCTTCACCAAGCAACACAGTTCCTGTCTCATCCATCCAGCGGATGCTGTTCTGTTCACAAGGAGGGAGGTCGCTGTATCTCAACAGAGAGCACTCTAATGTGATGTTACCGTCCCTCTTTGGATCAGCGTCTGGTGGTGATGGAGAGACTGAGAGAAAACAAGTGAACACTATTAACTCAGCAAAAAAATGTTTGACGCCTGCAGGAAAGTCACTAAAGTTTACTACAGAACCCTGACAAGTTTTTCTGTTCATCTTCTGTGATCATTGTTCTGCAGAGTTAAAAAAATGAAGGAAGACTGAACCACATAGAATCAAGACATTTCAGTGGCATTTCAACAAGCCAATGAATAAATAAAATGAAAAAAGGAAACCTGTGACGATAATTTATCATCAAACTGATATGGCAACACTGCAAGCAACAATGACCAATCACATAAGCTGAGCCCCATCCACTCTACCTACGCTTACTTACTGAGACCTTCCAAAACTAGGAGTTCAATGTGAAATGTGGCCCATGGACAATGTCTCCCATTAAATCTAAGGGGTGTCCTCATCATGCCTGAATGAATGATGGCTGTTGTTTCCTCCTTTACGTGGAGCGCTTTCACACTGAGTGTCTGAGTGAAGGAACGGGTTGGGAAAGGACAACGATGTTAACTGGAAAGCTGTTGACCAATTTTCCATTCATGGAAACCACATGGAAAATGAGAGAAAATTAAAAATGTCCTTGTGTTGTTAAATTATTTACATTATATGCTTGGTTATGTTGCAGCAGGATTGTGAACACACCCCCGAGTCAC